GCTGTTTCAGATATCAAGAGCCTTTACCTAGTGCTTTACCAAATGCTGTTATATTTGGCCCTGGAAGATTTATTATAGGTTAAGTCCATTCAGCTAATAGGTTATTTGTGGAGAAGGATCTACCAATAGTAGAAACAACTTTTACCCTCACTTTTCTACTACCTGACATGACTATTATTCACACAGACTATAGGTGTCATTATTTGCAATTCACCGCTAGCTACTCTAGGGAAAACCAAAAAAGTATTATCACGGTCCCTGTACCCACCAGCTGTCAAAAGGTGACAGTTGAGTAGATCATGCAAATTTGAAGACCGTTGCATTACATTATTAAATTCTTACCAGTTTTTCTGTCCAATTTAATTGCCTTTAGGTCCTTTGTCTCATAGCTAACAGGTATAAAACAGAAAGGTTCATTTGTGAAGTATTAGAAAAAGGCATCCTAAAGAGCTAATCCAATTGATGGTTGTAAGAGGAAAACATACGGAACAGGAGGTTACCAAGATCTGTGAGTTTCACACTCCTCCAAGCTCTAGCTCACTTGCGGGACGGCAGATACCTTGTTCCAAGCACACACTGAAGCCTAACATCCCTTTGACAGAATAAACTGTATTCCGGGGCTCTATTTCTCAGGGTTGGTTTATCTAGAACTGTCTGGTAAAGATGGTTGGATTAGGGTGATAAGGCAACTGGGTTACTGGTTTTACCAAAATATTTATAAAGCTAATGAGCTGTTATGAATAGGGTCCACCCCCGTATTAAACTGGAACAATTCTTGAAAACCTTAAAATAATTTTAACAGTATACGAATCAAAATTAAATACTAAATTTATAAATGAAAGTACTTTGTAAGTTGTTCTATAAATGTTAGGCATGATTAGTATTAATAGTCTTAATGTTTTAAAACCTTTCACATAAAGACCAAACTGGATATTGTCAGATCTCTCTCTCTCTAATAACTCTGAACTCTCTCCTAGCACATTAAATGGTGGTGACTAACCTATCACAGATCACTTACAAGCATGACTACGCAGTTACTCATGTTACACTTCCATCCAATGCCAGCAGATGTGACGTTCGCCTTGTGGGGATCTGCTTTACTTTGTATAGACTAAATGGTGAATCAATTAAGAAAAGGGCACCTTAAAACGATCTTTCAGCCTCCTTTTGAGTTAGGATTCAACTCATTCTATTGGTGAATAACCCAACGATTGCCAAAGTATTCATACTGCTTTCCAAAAAAAAAAAAATCTCAGCACTGGATCATTTGACTATTCACTGAAAAAAATTACACCATACACTTCTGGATGGACTGCAGTTCTAAATGTGAAAGACAATAAAACTCTTAGAGAAAATCACAGACTATCTCTGTGACCTCAGAATATTTAAAGTATCTGCCCTCTTAAACAGGATACAAAAACACTGATCATAAAAGAAAAAAATGATAACTTTGATTATATTATGAATTTCTGTATATCAAACGATAACTTTTTTTTTGAGAGGTTTTTCGCTATAGGGCGCGTGCGCTTGCCAGACAGACAGAGAGAGACATAGAGACAGAAAGCGAGAAATCACCCCCCAGGGGGGATGGTCACGCCGCAATCCCTTCTCCTCCATTCTCCTCTCGGGATCCTGGGCACGCACGCACATGCGCCCGGCGTGAGTTTTAAGCCACCGGGTCCGAGACAGGAACCACGGTCGACTACGTGGGAGTCCAGCGACATAGCCATTATGCTAACTGCTGGTTCCCCCAAACAATAACTTTTTTAAAAGAATTATTTTTTATTTATTCATTTATTTATTTTAATTTGACCAGAGAGAGAGGGAAAGTGAGAAAGCAAGGCACCAGGTCCAGGACTCAAACCACAGACGGCCAAACAGGAGAGTCCAGTGCCTTAACCACCATGCCACCTGCTGGTCCCCAGGATAATGTTAATAGGACAAAATGACAACCTAAGGAAGTGGAAGAAGATATAATGAGAATATATTTGGCAAAGGATGATGAAGAGAATTCTATGCATCAATAAGAAAAATATATAGATCTGGGACCAGCAGTTGGCGTGATGGCTATGTAGCTGGACTACCATGTAGCTGACAGTGTGGTTTGAGTCCCAGACCCGGTGGCTTAAACTCACACCGGGCACGTGTGCGCATGTGTCCAAGATCTCAAGAGGAGAGTGGAGGAGAAGCGATTGTGGTGTGGCCATCCCCCTGGGTGGGTGATTTCTCGCTTTCTATCTCTCTGTCTCTCTCTGTCTTTCTGGCGACTATAGCAAAAACCTCTCAAAAACAAAACAAAAAGAAAAAGAAAAATATATAAATTACTGAAAAAGAAATATTAGGCCAGCCCCACTCAGCAGTGACTGAGTGCTATACAGAAGGAACCAGATCCTTTACATATCTGATTACAGTTTTGGTTCCGGCCCCTGAGACTTGAATAACACACCAGATGTGTGGCATGCATGCCTGGCATCCTGGTGGGATGGAGAAATGGAGGAAAACGAACTGCAGCATGAACGCACTCTATTAGGGGTTGCCATTTCTCTTTTTGGTGAACTCAAGAGCTCCATGGTAATTTAAAAAAAAAAAAAAAGACAAGAAAAGAAAAGAAATACAAACAAAAGACCTGAACTTGTATAACTTTATAAAAGAGAACAATCAAATGGCAAAGCAACCTGAAAAGATGCCCAACCTCATTAGTCATCAGAAAAATGCAAACTAAAACCACAATGTAGGGGCCAGCAGGTGGCGTGGAGGTTAAGGTGCTGGATCCCACATGGCTGGTTGTGCAGTTTGAGTCCTGGACCCAGAGACCTGAAAATCATGCCAGGCACCTGTGCATGTGTGTCCAAAATCCTGAGAGAAGACTAGAAGAGAAAGGATTGTGGTATGGCTACCCCCTCTGGGGGCTGATTTCTCTCTCTCTTTTTCTCTCTCACTTTATCTCTCTATGATGTGCACACATGCCCTATAATAAAAACAACCCCCCCCCAAAAAAAACAAAACAAAACAAAAAAACTACAATGTGGGCCAGCCTATGCTATGGTGATTAAGATGGTTGAATCCCATGGCCAACTGCACAGTTCAAATTCTGGAACTGTGGCTTGATGAACATGCAAGGCACATGTGTATGCATGCCTGCAATCCCAAAGGAGGAAGAAATGGAGGAGAAAGGGACTGTAGTGTGACCACTCCCCATGGTGGGTGCCTTCTCACTTCTCCAACATCCCCTCTTCTGATGGACTAAAACAGATTATAAGAAAAATGGAATATGTTAGGTTAAGATGCATCCCATAGGCCTATCTCACCCAGCCCATAGAACAGAGTAAAAAAAAACAAGGATTTAACAAACACGCTGTTCTGCATCTGTAAAGTGCTTGTGTTACAGCCTTGCCAGAAACTTTAACAACTCTTGCAGCACTTCCTCCCTCACAAGTCTTCCTCCCTTTGAAAACCCCTGCTCCACCCTTTGCAGACTCTTCCCCAAAGTTTGGAAATTCCCTTGTGGTTTTTGAGCTTAAATGCGCTGCAAAGCTGTGGGTCTGGGCTGTCATCCTAAAAATGCTGCCCTGCCAGTGGCAGAGGTGACAGCTCCTAGCCAGGGTGGCAATCTCTGGCCAGGAATAAAGACTCTTACAACTAATTTCTCAATCTTCATAATATCTCGCACCACAACACTCTCTCTCTGGCTTTCTCTGGTGAGTGCATGTGTCCTCTGGTAAAATTAAAAGCAAAACAAAACCACAATGTGCTGTCACTCTACACCCATCAGAACATCTAAAATTTAGAAGATGTGAAATACCAAATATTGGTGAAGACATGGAGCAACTGGAACTCTCATACACTGCTTGCTCTGGTCTGAACATCTGTGTCCTCTCTAGAATTCATGTCAATACTGAATTTCCAATGCAATAGCATTAAGAGGTGGGGACTTTAGAAGAGGCCATGAGCGCTTCATGAATGGGTTTAAGGACATGGTGACTGGTCCTTCTTTGCCTTTCCACCTTCTAATATATGAAGATAACACTGCAAAAATACATGATCAATGAAATAAACCCTCACCAGACTCTGAGCCTTGATTTCTTGGCCTCCAGAATGATGAGACATTAATTTCTATTATTTGTCATCTATTCTTTCTTTAAGTTTATGTTATTTCACTTATGATAGAGGGGGTGTGCACACAGGAGAGAGACAAGGAGAAACATCCTTGACAGACTCTCATTACACCATGCTCTTCTTCCCCAGCCCTCTAGCTCTTCAGGATCTTGGGTACACGTGCACACACCCAGTATGGTACAGGGCAACTAGGCAGGCGATTCAAACCCAGTCAGCCTGTGGCTTCCAGCACTGTTGGCTACTGAGTGCAGCAGCTAGGCTGGGCCAGACTTTCTATTATTTAAAAACTGCCCATTCTCAGGGCACAAGTGGACTAAGATACTACTGGTATTTGTGGAGCCTGAGAAAAAGTTTATGGAACCCTGACACTGCAACCACTAATCACTGAATGGGTGGCTCTTTCTGAATCAGTATTTAGTCTCTGTCTACTCCATGGACACTTCTAGCACCAAGTCCAGTGGGACCACTATGTGGACCTCTCTGGGGCTGCCTCCTGTGCCTCTACTGGGACTAAGCCTCTCTCCTACCATCTTAGCCACACTAACAATAAAGTTGTCGTAAGTCTGATGAATGAACAAAAAACCTAATAGAATATTTTAGAAAACTGATTGTAATTATGTATTAAAACTGAACACGGAGGGCCAACAGGTGGTGTGGTGGTGAAGGCACTGGATTCCCACATGGCGACTGCAGTTAAGTCCCAGACCTCACTTTCCCTTTCTCTCTCTCTCTAGTCAAATTTTAAAATAATAATAATAAATTAAGTAAATTTTTTTTTCAAAAAATGTACATAGGGGAAGATGCTGGTCAAGTAATACAAAATTTCATTAAGAAGGAATAAGTTCAGGAGATTTTTAAAAAAATTCCTGATAGAATGCACGCACCTACAAAAGAGATAGGGTAACCTCCACAAAATCTGGTCAAGCTGCGATCTCCCTCCTCCAGCTCATCTGGATCTTGGGCACCACACCACGTGCCTGGCATGTCTTCAGGCCAACTAGACTGGAAATTTGAACAATGGTTGCCATGTGGCTTCCAATACTGCAGTGGAGTATGCTATGGAATGCACCATAGAGGTTGGGCCAGGAAAACCATTACGTAACACAGTGACTATAATAACAATGTAACGTATTGGCTTCTAGAGTGCTGATAAGGTTCTATTTCTTGAGCACATGCATAATTTTACATATGAGTGTTACACTTCAATATAAAGTTAAAAAGGAGGAACCACCAGGTGGCATGGTGGTTAAAGGCACTAGACTCCCCCCACATGGCCAACCACAGTTCAAGTCTTGGACCTGGTAGCTTGAAAAATCACACTGGGTACATGTCGTGTGCATGGCCAAAATCCCAAGGGAAGAATGGAAGAGAAGAGAATAAGTCATGAACATCCCCCTTGGAAGGTGATTTCTCACTTTTTCTTTGTCTCTCTTTC